AAAAAAAAAAAAAAAGGAAAAGAAGGAAAGAAAAGAAAGAGCAATGGACTGCAAGAGCTGACCTAAGCCTTCATCCTCCCACTTAATTTTTCCATCCGTACGATGAGGACACAACAAATCACAGAGCGGTGAGACAATGTATGGGGGGACGACCAGGTGCTTGGAAAACTACAAAGTCTTCTGTGTGTTAAGAAGCAGCAGCTGGGGGCGCCTGGGTGGCTCAGTCGTTGGGCGTCTGCCTTTGGCTCCAGTCATGATCCCAGGGTCCTGGGATCGAGCCCCGCATCGGGCTCCCCGCTCGGCGGGAAGCCTGCTTCTCTCTCTTCCTGCTTGTGTTTCCCCTCTTGCTGTGTCTCTCTCTGTTAAATAAATAAAATCTTAAAAAAAAAAAAAAAAGCAGCAGCTGCTGTACTAACGGTCTGGAAGGTGCCGAAGCAAAAAGGCCACACACCTCCTCCAGTGCCACAGCCCAGAGCCCAGGACAGGCCCCTGCAGGGGGCAGACCAATGCCAGCGCTGCCAGAGGCAAAGCAGTCATCAAAGGACACAGAACAAAGCCTCAGATACAACCTGAGTTTCCTCTGACAGGTGAGGAAACTGAGGCCTAGCAAAATTAGCTATTACTGCCCCCAAGCACACAAACTTGGTGAGAAAGCCTCCTGAAGAAAAGGAAATGGTGTGAGGAGACGGGCCATGACTGGGGAGAGGAAGGCTGATGGGGGCCTTTACAGGGATGGGAAATCAAAGCTGTCACCTTGATTCCACCAGGATGTGGCTGGCTTAGATCTAGGAAGAATTTCCAAGTCGTGTGTTCTTGAGACTGAGGGAGCTTCGAGGGAAATGAGAGAAAAAATTCTCTGACAAGGTTTCACTCACCTTAGTGAACTATTCTCTTGGTCTTCTAAGAACTAAGTCCAGGAACTGCTGTTTGTTGGGCCACCAGCTTCCTGCAGGACCTACCACCTGTGACATCTTCCCTCTTATAAACCCTATCCTGATTCTTTCCCTCTGGCCTCTCTACTTCCCCGCACTGCTAAATATTCAGTTCGGCTCTCGAACAGCAGCTCATTTTTCTCCTCTCCATAGTTTGTCTCTCCCATAGGTTTAAAAGATCACCAGTGCTTCGCCAGCCCTGAGATAGATAATGTCAAGATCCCGACTGCTTGAAAGATGTTTCTCCTTGGCTTGCCTTGTCCCTTCAAAAGTAGTGTCAAAATCAGCCATCACCTTTCCCCTAAAACTAGCCCTCCCAGTTTCTGTATTTCAGGCGACATGCTCAAAACAGAAATCATCTTTAAAACATTTCTGGATTACCTACATGCCACCTACGGATTTAGATACTAGTAAGAGATAAAAAAGACACAGACTCACCCTTAATGAATGACTCTAAATGTAGTCTCACGATATCCAAGTGGCCACTAAGGCTGGTCAGCAACAACTCTTAGAAGTGCCTGCCTTCCTTTTCCCACCGCTTCCACCCATCCAGACAATAACCCTCATACCTGGACCAACACAACAGCTACCTATGTCATCTCTCAGACTCCCCCCTCCTCTCAAATCACAGAGCCTCTGTCCACTAGATGACAAATCTAGCAGCTAATATGCACCAGCTCATCACGGGTTAGTTATCTTTTTGTATAGCGTTTCCCAACTAAAACTGGATTTATTTAGGGACTGAGCACAGGCCCGAGAGAGACCTGCACTGGGATCCTGGATGGCATTCGTAAGCTTGCACACTGGGCAAAAAACTCTAAGACTCTCAGTTTCCTCATCTGCATAATGGGACAGCAACTTGGTCACGTAGTTAAGAGGATTAAGTAAGGCCATGCATCTAAGGTGCTCTGCGCAGAGTCTAGCACTGAGTAAATGCCGGTGCCAGCTGGTTAGGATACAATTCTGTACGGCTTACTGGGTCCCGCAAAGTCTCTGATTCACTGGTGCTGTTTGGTAGATGACTGATACGTGGGCCACTCGAGACGCCAGGCCAGGCTAGCCCAAGAAGAGGCCTGCGTGTGGGCGGGGACCCCGGACACTTACACAGTCTGGACATCGGTGGCGAGCCCGGCCAGGCCTATGTACAGCCGATCGCCCATGGGAAAGATCTTCTGGAAGTCCGTGGTCACCATCTGGGCCTGGATCCCGAAGCGCCTGTCGGCAGCGATGGCCACACAGTTCTTCCCCTTCATGGCCATGACGGCCCCTCCGTTATAGGACATTATAGACTGCGGCAGACAGAGCGGAGGGGCTCAGCGCCAGGGGCCGAACGCGGCCAGAGCCCCCGGCGCGGCCCCTGATCCCGAGGCTCCCGTACGCACCCCCCTCCACTCTGGAGGCGGCTGCACACCGCGAACTCCAGCTCTGACATGAGCGCTGTGCAGCTGCGGGAAGCCGCCTTCAAGCCCTTGGTCCTCACGGTGGTCAGCTTCCCTTCAAACTTCAAACGACCACCAGGCCCTCTCTGCTTCCCAAACCTCCCATGCCGCCCTCCCCGTTCCTCAGTCCCTACCCCGCGTCCCTCCTCCTCGCCCCCCATCTCACCATGACGGCGGTGTTGTGAGACCTCCAACCACCACAATTCCAGACAACCGGCTATGGCCCTCCCAACGCAGCCACTCTTGCTGCCTTCTCGGTGCGCGCCAAAAGGCCGACCCTTCCGGGACACTTTGACTTCCTATTGGCTGTACCTCTCTGTCAGTCATCAGCACGGGAGTTTGGTTGAGAAGCCAAAACCGAGAATGGGACGGCGGAAAGTGAAAAGTCACCGTGAGTGCGGAAGGGCCTGGCGCCGCGGTGCAAGCTGGGATCGCGGCGGACCCGGACTCCAGACGCCAGATCCCGGGGCCGGGACCTGTGTGCACGTGGGCTGGTGAAGCCCGAAATAGGGGACACGGTCCCCAGCCAAAGGGCCATGGTGTTGCTTATGAACGTGTGCGTCGGGCGTATTACTCATGCTAGCTTGTTTCATCTATTCACTCCAGAAATCCTTACATGTCTTATGTGCCAGGTACTATACTAGGCTCTGGACATTCACTGGCCTAGAACGGTGCCTGGTATTTAGGAGGTGCGCATTCAGACATATTTAATGTTTCGAGGAGGAGGAGCAGGGGAGGGCGTCGCGGGTGTACTGCGGGGCGGCAGGGGTTCAGCTGCAAAGGGGACGTTTGGAGACCAAAGGTTGTTATGCTTTTGGGGACTCTCAGGAGGTCGACTTCATGTATCCCCAAGACTCAGGTCACCCTAAAAAAGGACGTTTCGGGTTTCCCCATCTTATCTTCCTCTAAGAGAGATCCGGAGGAAGCCGGCGACTACCTCTCCCAGAACCAGTGGATAAGACGTGAAGGTCCCCCCTCCTCCCCTCCCTCGACCAGGACCCTTTGCTTTCTCCCCAGAGTCTGACTTCTTTCGCCTGACCGCAGGGTTTCCGTTGCAGTCCTGCGCCGTCGTAGGCTCGCTCCCATTGACTCGGCTCGCCGCCACGCTGGCAGCTGTCGGAGTCTCTGTGGCGCAATCGGTTAGCGCGTTCGGCTGTTAACCGAAAGGTTGGTGGTTCGAGCCCACCCAGGGACGCAGTCCTTTTCTGTTAAAAGGAAAACCTAAGCGTTATTTTCTCAACCCCTAAAATGCCAAATTTCGTTTTGAAATGGCAGAGATACTTTTTCTATAGCAAATCAGAGGATCATTGTAATTGAAAATTCGTTGTTGTTCAGTCAATGATGGGATAATTTCTCCAGCACTTTCCTCCACCGCCTACCTCCTACCCCACCCCCAGGTTGGATTTCAGGAACGGCGAAGACAGAGGTTTTTGTCTCACTGTGCAATACGTTTCAGGTTGCATTTTTCGTAGGATTAAGAATGAATTTACAGTGGAGGTTGGACAGTTTTCCATTGTCTGCGTCAATCGATGTTACAGTCTTGAAATGCTACGTTTGGAAGGGAAGAAAGTAGCGCAAGAGACAAAGGCGGGGAGAAACTGTGGGATGAAGCAAAAGGTGAAAAAGGGAAAACATAGCTGTGATATACAGAGACGGAAAAGGGACACTACAGAGAAATAGGCGGGGTGAATGGAAGAAAGACTCCAAGAAAATGGAGGGAAAAGAGATGCAGTTAATATGAGAACCTTCTGAAAAAGGAAAACAAAAACAAAACTATTCTAGATGTACACACAGAGAAGCGGGGCAGAGGATGGAGAAATGGAAACAGAAACTGACAAAGGACATTGTCGTGGGGAGAGAGGAGTGAAGGACACAGGTAAAGACTGTAAAAAAAAAAAAAAATCACTATAGGAACTGCCCGCTCCTACCATTGTCATCATCAAAGTGAAAAGTCAAGGGGATCTTACCTTCGCAGTAGCTCTTGGCATGTGCCAGAAATAGTTGATTAGATTTCCTGGGTTCCTGCCCTCTGGAAGCTTCTAGTCTGTGACAGACACAGTGATTCTTCAGCTAGAGGACCCTGTGAGATACTACAACTAGCAGAGAATGCAGGGGAAGCATTTGTATCTAATGCAGCCAGGGGCACATCCCAGGACCAGGAGCTAAGCAAAGGACTCTCAGGCAGTTCCCTTCAATATCTGGCTTCTCCTAAAGATTGGGCTCAAAGGACGCCTCTTCTGAAAACCTTCCCCAGGGCTCACCGCCCCCCCCCCGCCCCTTACCAGGCGCTCACGGGGCTGGTGGGGACAAACCAGAGGGATACACAGTGCCATGGAAGCTAACAGGACAGGCTAGGTAGCCCCACTGGCCTGTGAGCTCCTTGTAGGCAAAAATCCGGCTCATCAGTGTTAGGTCCCTGGTGCCTAGCGCAGTATTTGACATTGGTACAGGACAGGTGCTTTTTTGCAGGGAAACCAAAGAACTTCAGATGTGAGAAAGGTTGGGTCTCAGAAGGTTCTGATAAGGCAGAAAGGCCAGGGATGTGGGGACCGGTGGCCCAGGATGGAAATGATTAAAATGAAGTTTTAGTGGGTAGTGGGGTCTTCATCCCTCTGTCTTGTAGTTTGCTAGTGACTGGCGCTAATAACTGAGGAACAAGTGAATGGATGCCCAGTCAGCACGGTGGGCCTCCTCACTGCAACACTCCAGGATAAAGGACCGAAGTGGGGACTCATCAATCCTCTTCCAGGTAGCTGATACCCGCCCCCCCACACACACACCCTGGGTGCCCATGTGAATCGTGTGTGACGGAGATCTATGGGAAGCCCCTACAGGTTTGCCTTGCCCCGGGATCGTCTAGCTGGACAGGAGTGACAGACCAGGAGTCCCTGATGCGCTGCCCTCCCCGCAGGGCAACTGGGAGACAGTGGAGGATGCACGAGTCTTCCCTGGCAGAGTTGGGGATGCTGGCGACACACTTGCCCTAGGGACAGAGGGTGTGTCCACCCCAAAAGCCCCCTTTCCAAGAGGGGTGGTGAAATCCCAGTCTTCGCGTGCAAGGACAGGGGAGTAGGTGACCGGGTCCTCTCCCGGACCTTCTCCCGCGGGTTCTCAGACCATCCCCTCTGGGAGGAAATCTCTCCCACCCATCCTCTTCCTCCCCGCCCCCATTCGGCCGGTGCGGGCTGAAGGCTGAAGCTGGAGTCACTTGGCGGCCAGCGTCCGCAGGTCTCCTGGTCGCTGGCCAAAAAGGGTGAAAGCATTCAGTCCGGGGGGCCCAGCTTCGGCTCTGCCTGAGCTGCGAGCGCGGAGGCAAGAGGAGGAGGCAGGCACTCCGAAGCTTGCGGAAGATTTGTCTCCTAATTTCCTAACTCGAGCCACCCACCGCCAGTGCGCTTAATGGCCCGTCTGGCCAGATAATCGAGCTCTCTGGAGGGACAAACCCAGTGACCATCTCTAATAAATCTTGAATAACGAATAAGCGAATCGACCGTCCTAATGAGGCAGGGCCCGGGTCGTCGCCGTAACGTAGTATCGATTGGCTTCGCCGGCGCCAGCCTCGGCCGCTCCTCCCCGCCTTTCCAAGCCTCCCTCCTCGTTTTCCCCTCCCGGCGGGAGCCACTGGGGACGGGAGCCCGAGCGCTGGGAGGAGCCGGGAGCGACGGTCGGAGGCGGACTGGCACCAGCCGCCTTTGCGCTCGTCGGGCTCCTCCCGCCGCCGGCGCGAGGGAGGCGCACCAACCGCGCAGAGCTCCAAGCGCGATCGGCGGCCGGGAGAAAAATGCGGGAAGCAGCTCAAGGCAGGAGAAAAAGCGCGGGCCCACTTTCGAGCCCCGGCGCCTGGTTTCCTAGTCCAGTCGGGCCTCTCGTATGCGACCGGGTTATTGTGTCCCAGACCCGGAGCCTGAGTCCGCGTCTTCAGCCTGTCCCCCGGCCCAGGTTGCGTTCCATTTTTCTCCGCGCGAGCACGCGGGGGGCGCCAGCCTCCACCCCAGCAAACCGACCCCCGCCCTCAGGCTACCCCCAGGCCTCTCCTCCGAGGCGCCTCCGTTGGATCCCGGGGGTCTGCCTTTTAGAGCCGGTGATCGGGCCGCTGAGCGGGGCCAGGGGGGTGGGGAGAACACGCTCTCCCCCACGATTGCAGTTATTGATTTTAAGGGAGTGTCACTTAGAGTGAATGAAAATACCCTGGACGCGTGGCCGGAGGCGTCGCGTCCCCGGCCCGAGCCCATCGCCCTTCGGCCCAGGCCGTGGCGGGTAGGACTGCAGAACGAACCACATTTCAGCCCAGTCCTCATTTCACCATTTTCCAGGCGCCCCAGCTTATTGGCGGGGATCGCAGGGTCAGGGGGTGGGGGGCGCACACACATTTTTTGTGGGGGGAGGGTTAATTAAGGAGGTTAACAGAGAAGAGGATACATCTTCCAGGGCCAGGGGCTGTTTGGGAATAGTGAGGTCGTGTCCCAGTTTAGGGGGCCCAGCACCCAGCGTGGGGGCAGCCGCGTTAGCCTCTCCCCCTCCTCCTCTTCCCCTCTCCGCGAACACCCTGAAGGAATGAGGTCACGTGGGTGAGTAGTGGGCGGGACCTACTCTTGTCTGGAGGAAAAAAGCCATTTTGTACCCCCCCCAGCCCCGGTCCCTCCC